TCATGAGAAGAGAAGACTCCCTGGAAAAGACCATGATGTTGGGAAAGTGTGAAGGCAAGAGGAGAAGGGGACAACAGAGGACAAGATGGTTGGGCAGTGTCACCGAAACTACCAACATGAATTTGACCCAACTGCGGGAGGCAGAAGAAGACAGGAGGGCTTGGCATGCTCTGGTCCATGGGGTCACGAAGAGTCGGACATGACTTAACGACTAAACAACAACAACTTATAAATAATAATGTTATTAGTCTATTGGTCTGGGACTCTTTCTTGACACACTGGAACTTCAGGCTCTAATATTATCTATTACAGTATATGCTCAGTGTAAACTTAATGTTAGGACCTGTTGGAAATCATTAATTCAGAGGATTGACACAAATCTTTAGTGTCTTTGTAATCCATAATCACAACAAATATAATTATTTGCAATGGGAACACCTCAGAAAAAATCACCTTCTGAGAACCCCATCGTTTTCTTATTCTCTGTGACAAAAGAAGGAGGATGGCTGGATGGCAAACAGGAAAGAGACAATGTAATACTATTCAGACCTGGCCCAAAATATATAAAGACAAGAGACAAAGAAAGCACTAAAAAATCTGCCATGGAATGAAAGTTTGAATTAATGCTGTGATATTGAAAATCTTGAACTAAGGTTCTGAGCTAATCTACTCACACTGGAATTTCCTCTTCTCACTAAAGCAATACAAAGCTAACAAAAACATTAAGTACACAATGAAGTTCTTACATCACTCAACATTCTTGACCACAATCTCTCTTTCACCCAGGAGACCATACACCCTTATTTTAAAGTCAAAGCCCTTCCCCACGCGAAAAAGGAATAATATATACTTCCAAATCATGTATTTAGTATGTTCCCTCATAGAAGGAGACTCCTAAATGTTAAATGCAGTTTCAACATGTCATTTCTTAAATTGATAGACAGCATTGGCAATTCCCTTTAGCAAAACAAATTCAGCATCACTGGCAACCTGTTTTCCCCAAATACATCTGTCCAAAAGTTGGGGGATCTGTATTCCAATTAAGATTTAAATGTAAAAAAATATTCTTCCACTTAAATAAAATCTTTAAAGAGTGGATTTGGAGGCCATAACAGAACAATATGTATTATGTGTTTTCTTCAAACAAAATTGAGTATTCTCTACTTTAGCCTTCAAAAAATAATCAAGAGGGTCCGTGTTTTTTTCCTTGCAAGAAACTCTCTCAGAACTCAACCCTTTTGTAAAATGTAAGTTCTACAAATAACCTACTCATGTTCATTGATGTAAAGTTCAGCAAGTTCATGCCAGGCTTCTTGGTCGCCAACAAACCTAACAAAAGAGAGAAAGGGGGGGAAATAGTCTTAAAAATTGAAGTACTCTGTCAAAATGAACAGCATGGAGGCCAAGAAATAAATCAAATGTAAATTCCATTTTAATTAAAAAGTCTTATCAGAATGGCAAAACACAATACACATTCTTCTAAAACACTCACTGTTCCAGATACTCATTCAACTCTCGGATGGCTTCTGCATTTTTTCCTTGGGCTTTACGGATGGCAATCTTACGCTTTCTTGCTGCCTGTGGGTTGAAATTAACAGAGGATTATGTGTTCACAATTCCCTTGGTTGGGGGGAGGTGTTTGGTGATACAGGCAGTTTGTGCAAATTATTATCTCAATGCCAAAAGATTTCTACCATGGTGCAATTGCTTAGCTGGAGTTTATAAATATACTGTATCCCGAAGCAAGATTTTAAAATTCTTCTTGCTATGGTATTATATTTCATTTTTTTTTTCATGCAACATTTCATCCAAATAAGTAATTGTTCAGTTATCAATAACTAGAAAGCAGTGGGGAACCCTAATTTATAGCCAGCCCAAAGGCTACCAACTTTTCATTCACATACTCTGCCTTGCATGGACACTCGGTTACTAGAGTTTACAAATCCATTATGTGATCTTTTGCCTAAACATCTCCTTCACAATTTTTTCAGCTTTTTTTATAAATAGTAGTATTACCTAACCCAAAGTAGAGATCTAGGTTTCCTGAATAAGCCTCTTTCATATTGCAGAGATCATATTTTTTTAAAAAAAAGATGAGCAATGCTCTGCAAATAATTCCTGGCAGTGAAAGAAGCTTTAGGAGGGAAAATCAGTTTTTAACACAGCTATTTAAACTCTAAACCATCTGACTGATGCTCCCTGAAATTAGCAACTTCTTAATGGAAAAATGAAGAACTAAACCCTACAAATTTTAGTCTGGGAGCACAGGACATTAGCTAAACCACTAAACGAACACATCCTTAAAAACAATTGAACAGCTTCATTTGCACTGATAGAGCAGACAGCTCATGGTTATGAGACGGGTTCTTTCTTTCTACCTCTGAATACCATTCCTTCAGAAACACACAAGTAGGGCCTCCTCCTCAAATGAGTTGGAATTAGAATTTCCAGCAGCTGCTGCTCTATTTGTAAACCACTGTATTCCCACACAACAGAAGCTATTCAGACCTCTAAACCTCCTCCTAACAGAAACATTATATCCTTTTCTAGGGTGCATGCATCAACTGATTATTATCTTGCACTAACTCCTAGCAGATATTTGATCACACCAGAGGAATGGTGGAAAGTGTGTAACTAACTTCCCATGTTAAGGTTACCTGCATAAACCAGTGCATGGAATTGCTTGTTCTAAAACCAAGCAACTTTCTTGAATTCCAGACCTTTCAAGTATCAGTTGCTTCTCTAACAAGCTTTTAAAAAGCCCTGCAAAGTAATACTACCTGTAGGTATCAGAAATAAACCGTACTGTTATGTATAATTATGTTTACAATTACAGCCCAATTTTGGTACATTTGAAATTCTTAACTTGCTAAATCTTATCTGCTATAGTCAAGAAACCTCACTGGATTTACACCTATTGGTTCCCATATCTGTCTGGTTTAAACATAACCAGATTCTCAACATAACTTTTTGTAGTCAGTTGGAAGAAAGTAAGTTTGCTGTACCTAGGTACTTTTCATTGCAATCCTCTCTGAGTTATGTCACTCCTCCCTATCTTCCAGCAATCTGAGTAGGATCACAGGGCAACAAATCCTGAGTTTGGACCGAATATAGGCTTACAGGATGTGAAACAATATGTGTTCTGTCCTCCAGAAGCACCCATCATGAATCAACCTCACAAACAGATGAAATGGTCCTAAAAATTGAAGTACTCTATCAAAATGAACAGTATGGATGACAAGAAATAAATCATTTGGAGAAACACTTGTCTTCAAGATGCATCTGTAAGGGCCCGCTTTGAAAACTGATTTGCTGAACTAGGTTGAGCCCTAATTTTGTTTGGACCAATCAGACTGAATTTTAATCCTGAGATTCAGAAATCCAAAGGTTCAAGCATTTTCACCATCTTTTACTGGGAAACCAAAATGACACTTTTGCAGGCACATGTGCATGAAATCTATAGATGTGGTGGTCTTGTAAGAGCAGATAACCCTCGCCAAATTGCTGACAGGTAGCTCCAGGGATTTCTGTCCAAGCCACTTTGAATTTTTTTTTCCTTTTATAAGTCAGCCATTATTGCTGCCGTCTCTGCCTCTGGTCACAGAGAAAACACTGTATGAGTTGCTGTTTCTACAGAGAGTGAGACAGACTGAGGGATGAATGTTCTTGTTTGTGCAAAGGCTGTGCATGTGCCTAGTGGACACATGTGTGTGTAGTAGAGACTAACAGATAAACAAAAGAGAGCACAGAAGTGTTGGTTTTATGTACTCTGATTTTATGCTTGTATAAACTACAGAGTTTTGCTGCCTATTAAAATTAAAACATAATAAGACAATTGAAACACACGTATCAGCTCACTCAAGCAATTACACAAAATCAAAAATCTAGTCAGTGTGAAGGAAGATGCCAATAACAAAGGGATCAAGCCCAGCAAAGAAACACAGCCATCTACAAAAGCAGCTAAAGAACAAAAAGCTAAACAAGAGAATTGAATTTCTATAATAATAATGTGTGCTGTCAATTATGTCTTATGGAGACCCTTCCAGGGTTTTTAAGGTACAGAGTACTCAGAAGAGATTTATTATTCCTTTTTTGGAGGGGGGGAGCTTGGGGCTCTGCAACTTGGCCAAGGCTACTCAGGCTGGGTCTTCTCCCAGGAAACACAGTGGGGAATCAAACTCCCAACCTCTGGCTCTGCAGCCAGATATCTAACTCATTGAACTATCCAGCCCGCCCAAATTTACACAGATGCAATCTTTCTCTCCCAAACCCTGTGACTCGAGGATGGTGAGATTCTTTTTGCAGATTGGAGCCTAGGGTTCTCAGTGACAAAGGTTTAGCTCCCCTCCTACACATAACATTATGCTTAGATACTGCTGTTGAAAATATACTGTCTCAAGTTTTTCTTAACAGTCTCTTTTTCGCAAGGCTAATCTAAAGCAATTTTGACTGAGCCAATCTATTCCAGAGCCAAACCAACCCGACTTGATTTTGGAAATCAAGATAAAGCTTAAGTGATGGCCCAGATGCAGTTTCAAATATTGACCAGTAGCTTTAGCCAGAGTCACCCCCAAACTCTACAGTTTTCTAAATGAAAACAAAATAATTGCATTGGAAAAGACGTACATAGTATTGTAACATGAAGTCTGCTGAAAGTAGATAGTTCACCAACTATTGTACACATACTTGTAAGAAAACACATACTACTACTGTTACTATGTTACAATGTAAACACACTGAATTCAAACTGTCTGTGTAGGAAACCGATTTTTAAATTAGCCTTCAGCTGGCATTCCACACCAAAGGCTTAGCGGCTGAACTACAGTCTTCTATCCCACATTATGATCCAATAAAATGATGAATTTCAGTAAGTACTTAGAAATATATTTAACTGATGCAACTTAATAAGTAGTCTTGCTTCAGCTTTTAATAACTATATCCTTTTTCAAGCAAAGTAAATAATGGAGAACCTGAACGTTGCATTCATTTTATAGTTTACTGATATTCTGACGTGATAAATATAGGATGAAATAATTTTGAGAGAACAATTTAGTTCCCTCTTATAGATTAAATAATTTATTCCATTCCTGCTGTAAAAAACTGGGGTGTATTTGTAAATGTATTTACAATCAGAAGAACCATATGATTCCATGAAGATCACTTTTTTCTATTCATATTGCATTTGATTTATGGCATTACAACCAACAGATTATTAAAGTAGGAATGAGTGGGGAAACGATTCAATCCATGACTTAGGGTAGAAAGTGTCTTTAAAAGTATTTGTAATTCCTCTCAAAATAAGAGATTCCTGAGAAGTTACTTGACGCACAAGAGAAATTTTTCCCTTTTCATTCAAAAAGTATTTGAGGACCTAGTTAAAATGTGTCTGCAACCAGATCCGTTTCGCTTCATCATGCAGAACCTGTGACATGGAATTTCCCCCTATCCGTTTCCCAGCATTCAGAACAAAACCCTACACAGATTACTGGCTCTGTAAAGTCATCTTTCTCAATGGAAAAATATAGGTCATCTTAAAGAAACACACTATAATTGGTATCAAATGAGCACAGGTGCTTTAGTACGGCCCATATTTTTTTATTAAGCAATAAACCAATCCAAGTTATTCTTTTTAAATGGGTTACTAATCCCCAATTTGGGTCAAAAACTAATCCTCTCTCATGATTTTAAAAAAGAACAGTACTAAGTGAAGTGAGAATTTAGTGTCAACTTCTGCATTTGAATAGCAAGAGACAGACATATGGTTTAAGGGAAGAAAACATTTACCAGGAGAAGAGTTTTAATCCAATTAGTCTCTTAAAAAAAAGGAATTCTGCCACATTTTGGACACAACTTTCTTTTGAGAAATATTTTGAAAAAATAGTGTTTTATGTTACATTATTAAATTCCTTTAAATTGCTAAATCGTTAAACATTGTTTTTAAAACCACTGGATTTGAATCCCACTGTGGCAAATGCCTATGGGCATTAACACTTCAGAAAATCAAGACCAGATTCTGGTGTAGAGGCATATCAGTGCATACCAGTGACCATTATCGGTTTCAGTATATGTATTGGTGGTTGTGGCTTGCCGTCAAAGTGGCCATCTATGACATTAACAGATCTAGGGCAGAGACAGAATCCCCCCCGTCCCCCATCCCGGATCACTGTAATTTCTAATAGGAAAAAAGGGATTTGGATCCATCCTCTCTAATAAAGGCAGAGTTTCCCCAGGGTACTCTTCTTGCTTGCCAACACAGGATCCAGTTAGGCCATTGTTTCTGGCACTAAAATGAAAAGTGATCGGTAGGATTTATTCTTATGTCAAGAAAAGAGAATTATACCCAATAGAGCAAGAAGGGGACTACAGTTACAGAAAAGCAGCACAGATGCCTTTTATAGGTATAAAAATTTCTACACAGGACATTTTTTTTAAAAAAAAAAAAGTTACATGAATATAAGTATCTCTTCCGAAAGCTAATCATATGGTGTCCTTCCTTCCAGGCAACTAGAGGTTTTATAGCTGAGTTCATGGTTAGACAGTATGCTACATGCTAGGTATCATTTCAAGAAACCATCCTA